CCACACAGCAGTGCCTGGCAACTAGCAAGCGGTGCGGTCCTGGCCAAATCACTTACCCTCTCTGCGAGAGTGTTTATACAAGCAGAGAACTGACTGGCTAGATCTCTGCGGATGTCACCACGGCCATCAGCCACCTGTGGTCAATAGAAAGTCTGCTCTGGACCAGAATAGGTGCTGGGTAGATACAGAGCATATCAAGCAGTCGCCGATTGCAAGTGGGAAAGACAGACACATCAATAAGTCCTCTCAATACGCTGTGATTAACCATTGCCATAAAATTAAAAGCACAGGAAACAGGAGGGAGTCCTAAGTGAAGGGCCTGTCTGGGGGATTCCGGAAAGACCTTCAGAGGAGAAGGTTGACTATAGTCTTGAAGGAGTATGAGATGCTTCTGAGACAACTACAAGGCACGAGCAGAGGCCCAGTAGGGTGAACACAGATGGGACACACAGGGAAAGGTTTAACTGAGGGAACGTGAACGGAAAGAGAGCATGGAACTTCCAGGGGGCAATGGGATTAGGCCAAAAAGGGTCTCTATGGCCTGCAAAGAGTGGACACAGACCAGAATCAGTAACAGAGGCCTACTGGGACCCTAATATACAACATCAGCACCATCAGAGCTCTGGGCAGAGCGATGGAGGACTGGAGTCTGTCGATCTCAGCACCCATCTCAGGTGGCTTATGGTTGCCTGTAACTTTAACTCCCAGAGCTCCCACATCCTGTCTGGCCTACTGGGCACCCATGAGGATGTGTACATGTGCACACACAGACACAGACACACAATAATTTTAAAGTATTTTAAAATTAAATCAAGAAGTGAGTATACAGGATGGGACTCCCACCCTAGAGCAAGAACAACAAAACAGCACCAAGACTCTCCTGTGATCCATTGATAATGTCATAGACTCTTCCCCAATGGGTCATCGTTTTAATGGTTTTTTTAAACAGTGGCATAAATATCATGGCACATTAAATCAGAAATGCCAGCACAGCTAATGATGCACAATCTTATCTGGAAATCCAGATTCAAGACAGCCTGGGTACATCTTATTTCTGGGTTTCACTATTCCCAGTCACACAGCACCGAAGTCAAAAGTCTGGCATTTCCAGCAAAGTCTAAGACATCAGTAAGGCCTGTGAGGAAAGGGATGATAGACACCACGGTCGGTGCCATCTGTTACCTCTCCCCTAGTCATCTGCAGGACGTCCCAGTTCTGACACGCCTGTTTCAGAATTTGTATACACATTCCTATTCTCTCTGATTCTCTGCGTGGAAAGCACAGCAGCTCCTGACTGTGTCTAAAGATCTCCCAACCAACACTTGAACCCTGAAGCTTCTTGTCCTTTTTCTGCCCCCCTCTCCCAGCCTCCACACTCAGGCTTCCCTTGGCACCCATGGGAACTTCAACTTTTCTCCATGCACGGTTCTTTTCTGAAGAGACAAAGAAAAGAAATGCCAGCAGGTTCACCGTCCCTTCAAGACCACGGCTAGCTACTGTCGTTGACTGAACTCTCGTGAAGAAAAAGAGTATGAGAATAGATGGAGGGGCTGCGGTCAAGAGAGACGGCATGCTGAGTACTGTACGATAAAGTCTGGTCTCTGGAAATCCAAGCGCACACACAGCTCTGCCCCACAGGCTCCCGGGAGACTCTTCCTGTCCCCATGCCCCATCTGCTCCACTATTCTCCGCATTGGCTCCTTTCTCCTTTGTGTGACTCAGGCCCTAGACCCATGGAAACCACACTGGCAAGAGTCCACAGTGACCATACCTCCTCAAGTGTCTTCGCAAGCCTCGGAGACCAAAGGCTCCCACAATTAAATTTTCACAAGTGTGGGCCTGCCAACTGGCCACTAAAATGCTAGCCTGACTCAGCAGCTCCATTTCCCTTCCATGGTTCAGGATGCAGAAGGGAAAACATCTTTAGATTATATCTCATTGTTGTTCTCCTCCTTGGTCCTGCTGGGCTGCATGCAAGATCTCCACGATGCTTTTTATCCAGTTAACAAGGCAGCTTTGGGGTTGAGGACTCCAAAGAAAACATAAACAAACATATCCTTGAGGGGGCAGGCATGCTTCCGTGTCTAAAAATGCACTTGGCCATATATGTGTGTGTGTAGAGGCCAGAGGTCAATGGGTATCTTCCTACTGCTCTGCACATTATTCTTTTGAGACAGGGTCTCTCACTGAAGCTGAAGTCTGGCTAGCCATAGAATTCCCTTGATCTGCCTGCCTCAGCCTCCCCTCCTCGATGCTGAGATCATGGATGTGTATACATCACCAGCTCAGCCTTCCCCTCCTCGATACTGAGATCATGGATGTGTATACATCACCAGCTCAGCCTTCCCCTCCTCGATGCTGAGATCATGGATGTGTATACATCACCAGCTCCAGCTTTGGTGTGGTGCTGAGGGTCCACACACTTCTCCATGCTCCTTCAGGAAGCACTGAACTCACTGAGCAATCCTCACTACAAGGCTTTCAAACGCTTCTTAGTCCATGGGAGGATTTAGCTCACACTTACATGTGGATAAACACACTCTTCACACCAGACAGAATAACCCAAACATGGGATCCCCGATGGTTACTACCTCGGTAGGACTCAGAAAGCCAGCCGTCCTGGCTTCCTCGGAGACACGCCCAACACAGAACATCTCTGCAAACTCAGACTCCAGCTGTGAAAAGCTACATTCATCATTGTGTTTCTCCAGCCTCCATCTGACAGAGACCATACTGCCTAATGTGCTGTATTCAATGACTCCAAACCCCTCAAGGCTCCATTTGGATTTACTATACCTACTTAAGGAACACAGTCACTGTCAAAGGTCAAAGCTCTCTGGGGCTAGAACCTAAGTCCAATGCCCTCGAGATACCAAATGCAAGCTCTAAACAGAGCCTTCCAGCTTCTGCTTAATTCATTATGACTTTTAGGTACTCAACAGGATGGATCTCACACACTCAGGATCCTGTTTGCTGTGAAAATAGACCTGACTGAGGTTGCTTAGCCGGTAAATGAGTAAGGGAAACTTGATCAATACAGAAAAATTTTCTGGTACTCGTCAAGGGAATTTAGACAACAACGGCCTTGCTGTTCCAAGGGTGGTACAGGAGTGCAGGGGCAGGGGAGAGATTCTGGATTCAGCTCCGTCTTCCTTCAGTATTGCAGACTGGAGAACTGGAGGTCACTCTAATTGCCTCAGTATACCAAGACGAAAGACACCGCATGGGACAGGAGTCCGTACAAAGCTCCATGCATAGCTCACTTAAATTAAAATCAAAATAGCCCTTATTTATGGGATGGGTCATAGCCTTCCAGCCATCAGTGGGAAGTAAGGTTCTCATGGCAGGAAGCAGGTAAGAGGTACCTGATCAGTTACACCCCGTCTCAGCTCCACCATAACTGTTTCCTTAAAAGCACACTGTCCGTGCAATTCTCTCTCACACTACTTAAGGACACTATCCTTGTAGGACAGAGAAAAACAATCAGGATTTACAGAAAATCACCAGAAAATTCAAGAGAACACCAAGGTCTCGGAAACCAAACCAACTTGTAGCCTCATATCTTAACCCCCATGACCCTCCCACACACACACGGTGGGAGGAGAGAGGGAGAGAGATTTAAACCAAAAGACCAAATAGAAAATCGTGTGTGTAAGTGCATCTCAAGCTTCCTATTTCCATGAAGGACCTATCCAGGCAGATCTTGCTAAAATTCAGATTCTGATTCAGTTGTTTGGATGGATTCTAACTTCCACATGAAGGAGGCCAGTCTGTGCCAACACTGGGGTAGATGAAAAAGAAAAACCATCTTACAATCAAACAAATATGGTTTTGAATTTCCTTACATTTCTGAACTTTGTGACTGCATGCTAGTTTCCCACCATCCCTGTGCCTCAACCTGCTCATCTACAGACCGGAAATAACACCCAAAATGCACGTGATGGCGTGAGTTAGTGACGAGGGTCTCCTGACCCAGTGCTTGGCACATAGCAAGGCTTAGTAAATGTCGTCAGCTGCCTCTACGATTCACAAGGACCAGGATGATAGCTGGCTCACTGCCAAAACCACAGCAGCGAGAACACAGTAACGGTCCAGCGGATATTCGGCCAATGAGTGCACATCCACACACACAGTAGTGATAAGTACATACTGCCCCCATTCCGTGTCTTTTTACGTAAAAGCCCAAGGCGTCTAAAACACCAAGAGATTCTTATCAACAGAATCACAGAATCAGATTCAATGCTAACCATCGTGTTTAATCAGCAAGACACGTGTAATTTGCGGTGGTTATACATATTTGAGAAATGTCTTAACTGTAAATAAGTAAAGACAGCACCAGCCTGGGATCTGTATTTCATTAACAGAAATCACTGCCTTCCCTATTATATGTGGGCTGTCTCAATGCAGATGTTATGAAAAAAAAATCTTAACTCACAAACTTCAGTTCACTTCCAAACCAAATTCAGAACTGCAAAGAAAGTCCTAACAAGACTAAATTTTAAAGGGCCGCACTGGGCAGAAGTATAGTCTCACTTATGCATGCTCAGGACAAACAAGAAAGAGAAGACATATGAACAAATGGCAGAATGTTAGCTTTCAAATCAAAGGTGGTTCGTCTACCTACAGTTCCTCAACAGTTTACAGTCATCTCCACTGTGGGCAAATCCCACCCCACAGAGACACCGTGTAAGGTATGCAGCAGGAAGAATACAACTGCCACCTATGGACAGAAGCAGAGCTCCCTTGACCATGAGTCAGCCAATCACACTCTCAGTCACTCCCTCAGGCTCTCCCAAACCACCATACCACATAACTTCATTGAGACCTACTCTCCGGTCACAGGAGCACTGCTAAGCATTCCATCTCTTATCATCTCTCTACCTCTGCTTTCCCAGAAACAGTCCCTTGTCTTCTACAGGGCGTGAGCGCTGAAGACTAGGCAAGCCAGCAGACTCAAGCGGGCAAAGGCACTGCAGAGAAGTATCTATCAATCAGCTTACCTGATATGAACGGGACTGCCCGGAATATATCTGACAACCTGCTGTTAACCGGCTCATACGGGGAATCTTCCAGGAGATCATTTCCTAGAAATGACAGGAAGATTAGGCTCAGCTCTGGAAAACGGGCATATTTCAAACCATGCCTCACTGTTCGGTGGGAACCGCTAATCATGTTATGACTGTGTACAGAGAAAACGCTGACAGACTTCACATGCATGTTTGGGGATGTGATTATTTCTTTTTCAATCTCTTTGTTGTCCTTGCTCTCTCCAGAGTGCCTTGGAAATACTGGAGCACAACGCAGCCCGAGCTTGCCAGAAAACTCTCCCACTCTTGCAAAGGAATTGAAATCTGAGAGGAAAGAGCTAGTGACGTCACAAACTTCGCTTGCCTGCAGGAACCAATGGAAGAAGGATGACCTGGAGAGGCCCCTACTTCTGTTAGCTCCCTGCAAACCAAGGCATGTGGCCTGCAAGCAGGCACTCTAGCTGTTCCTAAGATCATCCCCAGAAACAGGCTTTCGTGACCAGGTTTTAGAAGTGGCAGCTGACAGTCTAAGCCTCTTCATTACAAATGTTCAGGGAGTCTCAGGGAAGAATGAAGGTATGGGGATCCCTGTGGTCCATTTACAGGCTCCCTAAGTCCCACTGGAATGGGCAGTTGTGGCAGCTACTCGTGAACTAGCCATGGATAAACCTCAGCAGCTGGTCCAAAACTCAGCTAATCTAAGATGACAAATGGTTTTTCACGCATGTGTTTCAACATGTGTGCAGGGGTGATGACAGAGTTCGCAGGTTCTGCAATATTTCATCTCATGTCATAAGGGAAGAAAGGAGGGAAATCTCCAGGCAAAATGCAGGCAAAGCTTTTGCATGATTACTCTCTAAAGCCAGTGAAAGCCCCGGGGCTGGCAGAGAAGTGGGTTCCTTAGGTAGTGTTTACGGGGGTCCCCAATCTGATGTTCTAACTAGGTTTCAGAAAGGTCAGTGGGATCCCAAGGGTGCCCCCACCCCCTTGTGGATCTGCCAACAAGACTGCTCAGCTGCAGGAAACACCAGCTGCCGCTGTCCCTAAGGGCCAATGAAAGGTCCTCATTCCGCAGCTGGGAGAAGAGAGTGGGAGATGAGATCAGCCGGCTTAACCCCAGGACTGGGTGTACTGAGGTTGCCTCTCGAGTTTGGAGAGAAACCGGGGAGTGCTGGTGGAGGCACCTGATGCGTACCCTGCAGACTCTGGTACATGCTCCAGTAGATGCGCAGGCAGTTTTTCTCTTTCTTCATGCCCCGCTTGCAGCGACAGTTGTAGAGAGACTTTTGCTTCAGGGCCTCCATGGCGTTGCGACACTCATCTTTGGCCTCGAGACCGGATGCCAGGCTGAAGTTGGTCTCCTTTCCCGCCACACACTGCCTTAGCGTGCGGTACTTGGTGCTGCAGGTCTGTTCCTTCAGGCACTGATCACTGGCTTTTACGCAGTCCAGGCGGTCCCCACCACTCACCTCGGCCGACAGCAGCAAATCTACAGGGTGAATGAGAAGAACGCTTGAGTGCAGCAGACTAGTTGGGGACCCCGATTCCAGGTCGCAGGAGGGGTGGGAGATGGAGCGCACGCCTGGGGCATGATAGCTCCACCGTCATTGTGAGGGGCAAATTAGGTAGGAAGCTGGTCTACCCCTCTTCTGGGAGACCATATTTCCCCACCCCTGGAACTGCTGCCATCATGCTCCCTCCCTGGCCTGCCATGGAAGGTAGTAACAGCTTCCATTGGCCACTTTGCAGGATTTGCTGAGGATCCCTGCGAGGCCCCAGCGCCCCAAAGCAGAAGCGGTCCTGAAACGCTGACTGCCCCGCCTCCCCGGGCACCTGGGGCTGCAGTCTTTGGGCCAGCCAGTCCGCAGCAGCCTAAGGGCCCTCCGCTGAAAGCGTGGTAGAGCGCTTGGCACCGTCGTGAGCTGGGCGAAAGGCAGGCGAGTGGCACAGTCTGCCCCGCGGGTGCGCCGAGACATTATTCCCAAAAAACTTTTGCATTCCAAGTTTGCTCTCTTCCCACCCCAGCGTTTTTTCGACCACACTCCACCTGCCGGAGCGCCTTGGCGAGCTCTTCCCGACTTCCAAGGGGACCAACGCCCCGGGGTGAAGGTCTAGAACCCATCAGATGCCCATCGGGCTGGGTTATTATTAACACAGCAAAATAAAACCAGCCGCACAGAGCTGCGCTGCCGCCGCTCCCCAAACCCAGGAACGCTTGAACCTCTTCACATCCCAATGAAACTTCTTCCACCCAAATCCAAGGTACCCACGGCGCAATTCTCGAGTGGCCGCTGCAAGGGACCCTCTTTGAGAGACTCTGGGTGAAAAAAGCCAGCAGCGGCCTCGACTTACCCAGGAGTGGCAGCGCGAAGTACAGAGTGGCCAGAAACATGGTGCCGGCGCGAAGCTGGTCCCCGCCCCCCAAAATCCAAAGCCGCCGCCGCTGGGTCTCGCGGGGAGAGCTCAGCGTGCAGCGATCCCCGGGCGACCGCGCTTCTCTGGCCACTCAAAGTTCAGCTCCATCCAGGGTGAGAGGAAACTCCCCGTTGCTCTGCCGCCCACCGCCGCCAGCAACTCAGCTCCGGGCGGGCGCGAGGGCGGGAGGCGGACCCGCTTTTAGGGGTTCAGTTCCGACCCAACCTGGAAGGGAGAGAGCGCTTTGAAATGAGAGCCCAGAGTGCTGAAGCCTCCCGCTCACACCTCTATCCCCTCCCCCATTCCCGCCTTGGGGGACTTCTCAACGCTACCCCCCACTCGGTCCGAGAGCATCTATTCCGGGCGTGGGGAGACTCCGGAACCGGCGGTTTGGAGCTGGAGAGGTTCGCTAGGGCTCCCAGCGTCCAAAGCCGGAGGCTATCCCGCACAACCCAAGAGACTGAACGCAAGCAAATAAATAAGCATTACTTTCCGAGCAAGCGCCGGAAGCAAGCTGGCGCTGCCCGGAGTCGGAGCCTCGGCGGCGAAGGCGCCTTAGCCAACCCCGGCTGGACCAAGACCCTGCTCCGGGAAGTTGGCCGCCTTTCCTGGCTCCCGCCCGACCACTCGCTGGCTCGATCGTGAGCGTTCAAGCTCCTCTTCCTCTGGCCCTCTGCATCCCGGCCACCAATCGCCACCTCTCTCGCCAAGACCCCCTCCCCCGGGCTAGCTTCTTTTCTCAGGCAGTCCCGCAGAAAGAAATTGACATCCTGACTGGAGCTGAAATCCGGCTTCTGTGCCCCTACCCGCCACGCATCCTGGGCTCCTTCCCAGACATCCGTGCCTCGCACGCACTTGCCCAGCGCCCGAACTCCTGCGCATCCACACCACTGCCCCGGGAGAGAGATCTAGCCCGCAGCATCTGCACGCCCCAGCAGGTGCAGCCCCGCACCACTAGCGCCCCCCTGGCCCCAAAGTTGAAGGATGCCAGCAAAATGGAAAGGGGTGGCTAGAACTGAAGAGGAGGTGGCAATGGGCTCTCAAGTGGAGTGAAAAAACTCTAAACGCCACCAACCTGGACTGAACCGACCCGCGTCCAGCTGAGGCGAACAGCCAGTGTTTATTTATTCTTTGGGGGTCACCCGCCCTCTCTTTCCTTTTCCGGGCTCAATTTCTTGCGCTAGGCGGAAAACGAAATGCCATAATCTGCTACAGCTAGGAGGATAGAGTTGGCCAGGACGATTTCCGAGCAGACCACCCCACCCCACCCCCGCCCTGCCCAGGCTCAGTGCCCGGTAGGGATGTCAGCGGTTATTGGAAGCTGCGGGAGGGTAGCGTGCCCAGATTGGTTTTGGCCAACGGCCCCTCAGCCTGCTTCTGCTCCCGGCAGCGCAGAGCCAGCTTCTTCGTGGAGCGCAGCTCCTCTATCAGCCACAGTAGACTTACAAGCTGACCAGCAGTGAGACCCAAAGCCAACACGCACACAGGCTTAGGACCCGCAGCGCTACGCAGCCGCCGCCGAGACTGCACCCTCCTCCCACCCCTCGCGTCCTTTCAGTGTACAAGGGCTCTTTCTTTAGTGCAAACAGCAATCCATCCAGACCCTTTTGAACACAAAGTTTTTTTTTTCTCCACGTCATTCGCGGCTGTGACTCAAGACTTGGCACGGTACAGACTCACTCAGACCTAAGCCCTAAACAGCGGTCTCGAAATGCACCCACCGTCGATCCACGCCATTGTGAGCTTACACACCTCTCTCCCCCCAGCTCGGACGGCGAGACAAAGCAAAGCCCCCAGCCCACTGCACTAGAGGCTGGGCAGACCCAGCTTTAGGTAATTTATAAGGTGACCTCCATCTTGACTGTTTCAAGAGTAAATTACTTTTCAAAAGCATTATTTAAGCAGAACACATCCATAGTCCCCAAGCCCAACTTCAAGAGTCTCTCCAGAGATACAGCTGAAGTGATACCCGCTGTGGCTTAGGGTTCCAGCGATCTGTCTAGAGTAGAGTACAATCCGCAGTGGTGGGTGACCGACCAGCTTGCTGCTCAGGGCTTTTATTGGAGATCTTTTCTGTGTCCAAGTTCATCTCTCAGCAAAACCGAGTTTGAATCAAATCTATGAGCCCAGCTGTCAAATCTGCAAATCCATCACCACAGACAATGGGCCGCCAAGGAGGACAGAAAAGAAACGCTGTTTTTGATCCAGGGGGTTAATTGAAAAGGGCACAGTCTTTCGTTTAAGTTTGAGACTGGGGTGTAAGGGCAGGGAAAAGAGGAGGAGGGATGGGTCGCTCTCCATTCAAGTACACACCAGCCAGGCGTGCCCTTCAGCTGTGGTCCCTGCTAGCGAGGCGATGCTCATTGTTTGGAGTCCTCAAAGGATGTCTGTGTCTTAGTAAGGGACCCAAACCCAGGGGACATCCCGCCAGCCCTAGCTCCTCCTCTGCTTTGCACGTGCTCCTCAGGGGCAGGTATGAAGTGGCTGGTGCCTTCAGCAGGAATCCCTCCCCCCAGCCAGCGTCACATTCAATCACACCAGCCACAGATCTCCAGTTCAATGTATCAGTTTACACTTGGTAGTTGAGTAAACAAAGAAAGCATATGTCACATTTTCGCGACAGATGGTTCAATCCAAGGGCTACTTAAGTTTATTTCTCTAGCGATAGTCAGAAGTTTTGCAGTGTGGACCACCGCAGGGAGATGTAATTGAGTCTTCCAATCAGTGTGTCTGCTGACGGAAGCTTATTATTTCCATATTTTCACACCAGGGCAAAAATGCCAGGGAGGTGAGAAGAATTATCTGAAGACTTCCATGGGCGCTCAAAACATAAAATCCTTTTCCCTTGTCCTATTTCAAAAGTATATGGGAAGGTCTTTCTCTGTCAAGTCATTGCTTGTCTTTGGGGACCACTTGTGGTGGCTGAAGAACATTTAAGTTTCATCTAAGACATCAACTATGTCTTTCCCAAACAGTTTTGGTTGTTCTACTTACTCTACGCAAGTTTTAAAGTTCTACTTTTAACAGAAAGGAAGACTGGTCTAAAAGTTCCCACAATGTAGGACAGAGGACTCCTTTGAAAGTAGTTAGGGCTTCAAGAATATCTCAGGATCCTTCCTCTCTCTAGCCTTTAATAAATGATAAATATTGACATGATAAAATAGACCTTTGGGGAAGGCTTGGAGGGGATTATTAATTTTATTTTTATTTTGTGTGTGTGCATTCCCAGTCATGAGTGCCAAAAGAGGGCATCAGATTCCGCAGAGCTGGAAAGTTACAGCTTGGGGTAGGTAAGCCTCAACATGGACACTGGGAATCAGACTCAGGTTTTCTGCAAGCGCACTAAGCACTTAATGGCTGAGCCATAGCTCCAGCTCTTTATTTAAAATAATTAACAATAACAGTAACAACAGATACCACTAGTTGCTACAACTATGTTGGTCAGCACCCAAACTACCAGTTTCAATGTCAGTGCCATGAATTTAATTAAAATGAAACATAAGGTAAGTATGGTCAGTTCTCAGTAGTACTATTCAATGGGCACACATGGCAGGGGTTACTGTATCTGATAACACAAAAGACTTCCATAATCACAGAAGGATCTAGTGGGAAGCACGGTCAGCTGATTTTGCTTTCAAATTAGTGAATATGGCTTCTATGTAGAACAACAGATTGGTGTAGGAATCCACTGAGTGTTTTATAAGCTGTGGCACAGTGAGTTGTGAGGGTGATGGTGATGGTGGTGGTAATGGTGGTGGTGGTGGTGGTGATAATGGTGGTAATTATGATGGCAATGGTGATTATGGTGATGGTGGTGGTGATGGTGGTGGTAATGGTGGTGGTGATTATGGTGGTGGTGGTGGTGGTGATGATTATGGTGATAATGGTGATGGTGATGATGATTGTGATGGTGGTGGTGGTGTTTTCCTTTTCTCCCGAGGAAGCTGAAGAAGTCTACAAAGATGCAGCCAGTTCCTGGTATGTTCTCCACACAGGATGAGGGTGGAGCTGATGAAGCAACGGAGAAGAATGGCCATGGCAAATTCCATTCTACAAGAAGAGCTGTAGTCAGAAAGATGTAGTTCAAATTCTAGCTTGAGACCCCTCCCAGCAGGAACCAATAGGGAAAACCGCCGCCTCACTATGTACTTACTAACGTTCAAGGTGAGAGAGATGCATGGCCAGGAAGCCTTGGAATGCGGACAAAAGAAAGCGCTGTGACATGTTCTATGAACACTGCTTCCTTGGAGCTTATCTGTTCCCATGTGCATGGGACATCTCTGGATGAAAGGTGACATTGAAATACCAAATATTAATCATTATAAAGGCTCACGCAATCCTCTGTGACATGTTTTCTCAGTGGAAAATTGGCTTTAATGCTACAAAATTAGGTTCAATCCACCCGTGAGCATGCGAAGTGAGCAATCTTCCCGTGTGTCTCGATGGAAGTGTATTTTTCTAAGTTAACAGATGAGTCACGATGAAAGTGGCGGTTTTATCTCATATGGCATTTTGCCTCTTACTCTCATTGCTGTTGTCCCATGGAATATAACATAAAATATATCCATCCCCTAAAATTACACTGCTCAAAAGTCATTTGAGTTTTTTTTTTCTCCATTCAAATTTCTTCATCATTTGCCCTTAGACAGTTTGACAGGCTTCCCTCCGCAGCCATGCAGAGCTTTCTTCACATGGGCCGTGCGTGTGCCTGTTCCTTTCATGTTTACTGGGATTTCCTGATCTGGCCTCTTCCATTTGCCTATGAAACGGTACATCTAACATTTGGAGGCTCAGCCTAGCTGGACAGTCCAGACTCCTTGTATGAACTAACAGTTCCATGCCAGGTCATCCACAACCCCCGTGGAATCTCTATTATGTCTGTGCTGACAACTGTCTCATAGTCAGGTGCCCTATCTCTCTCCTTGGCTGGACTGTGAGCTCATTGAAGGCAAGGGAATATTCTCGACCTTATGTCTGCATCCCCAGCATTTAGACTCATGGCTGACACACACTCATTCCCAATGAATGCGCATTGATTGCATGAATAATGCCTGGTGCTGCTCCTCGTTTCCCTCTGACACCATAATTTTACAGAAAGATTTACATGAAAATCCCTTTACTGTATGAACAATACTAAATGGAAGTACCTCATACGATTACTGGCATTACAGTTCCAATAATAGTATCAGATATGTATTATTCCTTTAGGGATTTGACATTTAAATTTTTTTAAACAAAAACCATTATTATAATAGAACACTCTTTTTTTCCTGCTTCACTTTAATAGTAAAATATGACATATTTCATTTCTGGGAAATGATAGCTTGCCTTAGGTCATATTTTAAGGCATAAAGCCAGAAGCAGAGTAGCGTTCCCACCTGAAGTTCCCTCATCATCTAGAAATGTACCTCTCTCTCTGGGAGGAGAGCCAAGGCACAGCCACCCTGGAGCCTTCATCTTCAAAGGCAAATTTTTAAAAGCCAAATTGGCTCAGAATTATTTTTAAAGAAACAACTCCATGAACACAACCGCAAGCCCTCTTGTGATCTTTTAGGGAAAATGAGAAAATGCTCATCATCCAAGAAAGGAAGCTGGCTAAGGATCTCCACACTGGTAAAACTCTCACCTTCCACGCTGCCCTTTGACCCTCGCCCTTTGGTGGTACAGGAAGGGGCAAG